AAAGTGTCTTCAGGGCTTGCTGCTATCACTAACAGCAGGTGTTCTAGCCACTGACCTTGCAACTGCCCTGCTTAGCTCTCAAACTGCCCCACTTAGTTGCCTAGCTACCAAGCCCCTCCTTCCCTTCCCCCTTTCCTGAGTTCCCCCTGCCCGAGTACCTTTCTGAGGAGTATTTAAGGCATGAAACTTGCTTCAATAAACGGATGCCTTGACAAAATACTGCTTGGCATCCGTTTCTCTTTCCTCCCAAGTCTTTCAGATAGTGCCTCTTCAAGACCCTGGAGTAACTTAGGACCTGCTGGGTGGGTCATAGGATTGGGTGAAATGATGTACACCCAGAGATCTCAAAATGAGCGAAAATGGAATTGGATAATAGGTAGATTACTTACTCCTACTAATAAGTTTGTAATAGAAGGAATACTTGTGAAATATTTTTTATGGATTTACATTGGTATACTTTTGTATATTGACACAAATTCGAATTATATTTATTATATAGACTGTTTTGATTTTTGTTTAGAATATTTGTAACAACTATATAAGGTTATTATGTCAGATTGTATAAATGTATGATTCTACCTGTTTAAAACATATTTTTATTGATGCAATTTTATGATATATTTATCATATTGCATTATATTACTCTACCTCTGATCAAGATTTTTATACATTGTTTACATTTTGAAGTCATTGTCCTGCTTTACTGCATAGTTCTTTAAAGATTGTTTTATATTCTGATATGAAGTCTTATTCTTCAACACTGTGATGAGACTTTGGTTGATTGGTCAGTCAGTTGTCTGTCAACTACTACACTTTTTGGAAGCTGCTAGACTGCACTACCTGCCTACTCAAGTAATATTATTGCTCTTCTCAGGTCTTTGATGGGGTTGAAGATGAGATAATCATACTTACCATCCTCTTATGATCTAGTTAAGCCATTTCTACTACAACATGGACTCCTTAGGATAAAATGCTTATCAAACCATTAGGATGTATTCCTTCCTTAATATTGATTATGCTTATTGTAATTCTAACTTTAATTTTGACATCTTGTGTACAGAGTTTTGTATAGGGTTTGGAATTTCGTATTAAGTTAAATGGGTAGGTGCTGTGAGAGCTCCTTCAGTCAACAGCTTTAAAATATCAATGCACTTGGGCATGGTCTCTTACAGTATGAATGAATCTATAAAGGGTATAGTTGCTCTCTTGAATCCAGTTCTTGATTCTGGATGCTAGCTATATTGTATATGAGATCCATTGCTCTGTAGGTGCTCATCTGACCTATAAAAGCCCAAGGTATTCTTACACTCTAACTTGGTGTTTTCAGAAGTCAAAGATTCAATTAGTACTCACATAGTTCAGGGTCTGTCACTCTGACTTGTACAGCCTTCAAAATTCATCATTAAAACATGAACTCAGTGTTACATGATGAACTTAGAATGAATGCAGCTACATTAGGTAAAATCAAGCACTTCCGTCTCAAATGTTTCATGTGTGATTATTGGTTTGGGAAGATTGGGAGATATGGTATAAATCTTTAATTTTCTTTTGGAAAATGTGTGGATTGTTTTTAATTAAATATCATAAATCAGTCTGCCTTAGCAAGAGGAAGTATTTCATTCAGCTACAAAACTAAGAAAAGTTCCATATTTCAGCTATTCATTTTATACTATCACTTTGTTTAATTCACCCACAAACGGCTGTGAATCAAGGATTTTTTAATTGTTTTTTATTCAACTATATTTATCCACTATTCACCCTTCCTCCCCCATCCCATTGTCCCATGATTCACATGTTCCAAATTTACTAAGATCTTGTCTTTCTCTATGTCCTATATAGAATAGATTTATGTATGTCTCTGTTTGTTTCCTCTTTGTTGTATATGTTCTGGGCATTGTGAATTGTAGGCTGACTGTCCCCTGTTTTTTTATTTGAAAAGCCACTTAGGAGTGAGTACATATATTTTTTCTTTCTGGTTCTGGGTTAACTCACTCTTTTATGATGTTTTCAAGGTCCATAAATTTGCACATAAATTTCAAGATGTAATTGTTTTTATCCACTCTGTAGTACTCTACTGTGTAAGTATACCACAATTTCTTTTTCCATTCTTCTGAGGAGGGGTTGTTTTCAGGTTCTGGCTCTGACAATATTGCTGTGAACACAGTTGAGCATTTGTCCTTGTGGTATGATTAAGCATCCATTGAGTACATATCCAAAGGGCATGACTGGGTTTTATGATAAGTTGTTTCCTAATTTTCTTTCATTTTTTTTAATTTTTGGTTTTCTAAGACATGGTTTCTCTTGAGCTTTGGAGCCTGTCCTGGAACTAGCTCTTGTAGACCTGGTTGGCCTTGAAGTCACAGAGATCTATCTCTGGCTCCCAATGTGCAGGGATTAAAGCCATGCCTCACAACCCGGCAGGTGACTTTCTAATTTACGGAATAACCATACTGATATCCAAAGTAGCTGACTCAGTTTGTAACCCCATCAAAAATGCAGGAGTGTTCCCTTAACTCCACATCCTCTCCAGCTTAAGTTGTCATCAGTGTTTTGATCATGCCTATTGTTACAGATGTAAGAGGGAATCTCAAATTTGTTTAGATTTTCATTTCTCTAATGACTAAGGAGTTTGGAAATTTCCTTAAGTGTCTCTCAGTCATTTTAGATTCATATGTTAAAAGATTTTTTTTAGGTCTGTACTCCATTTTTATTGGAGTACTCCATTTTTTATTTGATGATCAATTATTTAAGTTCTTTGTATGTTCTAAAGATCAGTCTTCTATCCAATGTGGTTTAGGTGAATATCTTTTCCCATACTACAGGCTGCCTTTTTTTTGTATTGTTGATCATGTCCTTTGTTTTACAGAAACTTTTGCTTCAGGAAAGCTCATTTATAATTTTTCTCAGTGTCTGTGATGCCTGGGGTTATAATTTGAAAGTGGTCCTCTTTACCAATGTGTTCAAGTGTACTTCCAACATTCTGGTTTTTTTTTTTTTTTTTTTTTTTTGTTTTTCGAGACAGGGTTTCTCTGTAGCTTTGGAGCCTGTCCTGGCACTAGCTCTTGTAGACCAGGCTGGCCTTGAACTCACAGAGATCCGCCTGCCTCTGCCTCCCGAGTGCTGGGATTAACCAACATTCTGTTTTATGTAGTTCGGTGTGTTTGTCTTTATGTTGTAGTCTTTGATCCATTGGGACTTGAGTTTTGTTCATGATGATAGATGTGGATCTACTTTCATTCTTCCCCACATTGATATTCAGTGATGCCATCACCATTTGTAAATATGTTTTCTCCATTTTATATTTTTTGGTGTTTTGTCAAAAATCAGGTGTAGTAGGTGAGTGGAGTGATGTCTGGGTCTTAAAATCAGTTCCATTAGTCCTCCTATCTGTTTTTGTGCCAACACCAGGCTCTCTTCAGTACTGCAGCTCTGCAGTCATCTAAAGAAGTCAGGGAATGTGATGCCTGCAGAAATTATTTTTTATGTAGGATTGTTTTGGTTATCCCGCATTTTTTTGGCTTTTATATATGAAGTTGGGTGTTTTTATTTTGAGATCTGTGAAGAATTTTTCTGATATTTACATGGGAATGGTAGTGAGCCTGTAGATTGCTATGTTGATTTCTACCTAACAAGGGCAAAGGACATCTTCCCATTTTCTGGTGTCTTCTTCAAAGATTTAATGTTCTTTTCCAACAGTCCTTTCACTTCTTTAGTTGGTAATTCCATAATATTTTATATTATTTGTGGCTACTGTTAAGAGTGATGTTTCCATCATTTATTACTTCAAACCATCTTTCCTTTTCAGAAAATATTCCTTGTAACCACATTCTATCTACCTTCCTGATGACCACTCCCAATCTTCTGATAACTATAATTATATTCCCAACTTCTAAGGATACTTTTATACAAAACCTACAAGTAAGCGTATGAGTGATTTGACTCTTGATGCCTCTCATATTTCAGTTAATGATATCCTTTGAGCTTAAAAACATTGTTGAAACTTTTAGGATTTTATGGTTCTGGTTTGAGAGCCAAGTTGTGTTTCTTTCACTGGGCCTTTTAATGTTTTGGCTGTTTTCAGGGAGATGTTGTTTCATTATCTAGTTCTGGATTCAGAGACAAAGTTCTTTCCTTTGGCTCTAGTTTTAAGACCAAAGTTGGAATACCCTTCCTGTAACTGAAAAGGATTTATCCATTACTTTGCTGGTTCAAACTAAAATAAAGAGAGTTATAATGATGCATGAACAAATTGTTGACATTTTCAAACTTTTTTCTACACAATAACTGATTTTTGTTAACTGACTGTAAGTGGCTTGACATCTAAAAGAACAATTTAAAAGAAGCACCCAGCTTTTTCATCAGGTCCAAAAGATTATGATAATATGCACAAGCTTTCTCAGATGACTACACACTAAGTCTTACTCTTATATAAAACACAAAACATTATGACACTGAATTCATTTATAGTTTCACTACAGTATGATTTTTTTCTCATATTTTTGAAAAGTATCCAAATTATCTTCAGGGTTTCTCTACAGAAGGGCTCATATTATGTATTTGGAGATAATTGTGAAAAAGAATTTACCACATTCCATTCACAGGTATCTCTAGAGTATGTTACATTTTAAGCTTTTGAAGAGTACAGGGGTCTGCAAAGGCCTTATCACACTGATATCATTCATAGGGTTTCTCTCCAGTATATGTCCTTCTATACATTTGAGAGCACCATGTTGAGCAAAGGCCTTAACACACTGATTACATTCATAGAGTTTCTATCCAGTATGTGCTCTTTTATGCCTTTGAAGATGACTGAGAAGGGCAAAGGCCTTACCACACTGGGTATATTCATAGGGTTCCTCTCAAGTATGTGTTCTTTTATGGCTTTGAAAATTACTGTGGTGTGCAAAGGCCTTACCACACTGATTACATTCATGAGGTTTCTCTCCAGTATGTGTTCTTTTATGCCTTTTAAGAACACTGTGACATGCAAAGGCCTTACCACACTGATTACAATCATAGGGTTTCTCTCCAGTATGTGTTCTTTTATGCCTTTGAAGATGACTGAGACGTGTAAAGGCCTTACCACACTGATTACATTCATAGGGTTTCTCTCCAGTATGTGTTCTTTTATGTGTTTGAAGAACACTGTTTTGAGAAAAGGCCTTACCACACTGATTACATTCATAGGGTTTCTCTCCAGTATGTGTTCTTTTATGGCTTTGAAGGTGACTGTGTTGTGCAAAGGCCTTACCACACTGATTACAATCATAGGGTTTCTCTCCAGTATGTGTTCTTTTATGCATTTGAAGATGATTATGTCGTGTAAAGGCCTTACCACACTGATTACAATCATAAGGTTTCTCTCCATTATGTGTTCTTTTATGTCTTTGAAGACCACTGTGCCATGCAAAGGCCTTACCACACTGATTACATTCATAGCGTTTCTCTCCAGTATGTGTTCTTTTATGGCTTTGAATATTACTGTAGTGTGCAAAGGCCTTACCACACCGATTATATTCAAATGTTTTCTCTCCAGTTCGTGTTCTTCTACGCAATTGAAGATGAATATGACGTGCAAAGGCCTTACCACACTGATTATATTCATATGGTTTTTCTCCCGTTTGTATTCTTTTATGTGTTTGAAAAACAGTACATTGAGTAATGTCTTTACCACACTGATTATATTCATAGGGTGTCTCTCTAGTATATATTCTTTTAATCTTTTGAAGATGGCTCTGATCAGCAAAGACCTTACCATGCAGATTACATTCATATGTTTTCTCTCCAGTATGTTTTCGTTTATGACTTTGATGAGTTACATACAGAAAGTCTTTATTATCTTGAACATATTCATAGGGTTTCTCTCCACTGTGTGTTCTCTTATGCATTTCACGATGATTGTGACAAGAAAAGACTTCATCACATTGCTTAATTTCACAGCATTTTTCTCCGCTATGTGTTTTTTCATTCCTTAGAAGATGAGTGTTATAAGACAAGACTTTACCACAGTGAGAATATACTGAAAACTTTTCTCCAGTTTGATTTCTTTCAATCCTGCAAGCAAAATTTACACATGTAAAAGCTTTACCACATTCAATGCAGTTGTACCTTATACCTATATGAATTAACTTCATATTTTTTCAAATTGTAAAAAGGAATCTAATATCAAGGTTTTATAGCTTTGTTTAAAATCATGTTTTGTTCTCTCATTGGGGGTCATTTTACATCTAGAAAAAATTTTTGTGATGATAAATTCCATTGTGTCATGGTTTACCTTTTCATCTATAACACTACCTATATTTTTCTAGGGTATTTTTTACATTTTTGAAGAGAACTGCATATACTGAGTGCTTTACCTGTTGTAATAAGAGTGGCGGGCTACGTTCCTGGCACCCACCCACTCATATTATGACAGAGTGGCTCTCTAACGTGATGGACTACATCCACTTTAAAAACCTGAGAGGTCTTTAGAAAAGGGAGAGAGTTTAATACAGCTTTGGCTTTTTGTGGGTGGCTTGCCACAAAGAAGTTTTCCTGACTCAGCAGCAGGAAAAAACTGGCTGTTTTAAAATGCCGGCTTTCTGGGCTGTGCCGCCATCACCATATCTGTCTGGCTCCTGCTGGAGACAGAGCTTTTGAATGGAGCATTTGGAGTAAAGTGGTACACCTCGCTTGATGGCGATGTGGACTGCCATGTGCCTGGAACTGTGAGTGGCTCAGGGGCACCAAATGGCTCTGAGGCAGGAGAGGCTCAGCTCAACCATGCTGAACTATGCTGGTCTCAGCAGGAACTACCGTAATTACCATAATAATAGCATTTATTATGGTAATAGCATTTATTATGCTTAACATTTTAAGAAATGCTCCTGGATAGTAAAAAAAAAATTACAGATTCACAATAAAACAGATTCAGACATAAAAGACCACTAAATGAGTCACAGTGTTGGATGAATGTACGTAGGCTTGGGAGAGAGAAGAAAAAGAATATAAAGAATAAAGTTAATGTCTTTAAAAAAAGGGTAAAGTCTTTAAAGAGACAGAATAAAGTAAACTGATAGAGTAAAAATAAGACACATAAAAATGGAAAATTCACAGTGAGTCTGGATTCTTTGTATTATTGTGCTTTCTTTAAAATTTTTGACTGTACAGGAGCTAAGTACAGAGAGACATTTTATTACATGGGCTACCAAGCTGAACCAGAATGGATTTCATAAGGGTATTATGACTTCAGAATTTTGGTTTAAGGATATGATGCTTTGGAAAGGAGTTTCTTCTTTTGTTTTCACAGAGGATGAGACCCTGTGGATTGTGTCTATCCCAATATGGTATGATCATGCCCTCCTGAGAGGTTGCTGTGAACACCTTCAGAAAATTACTTCACTCAACTGCCGACTGAGATGAACCTAGCAGACAGGTTATCCCATAAAAGACCTGAATAACAGCACCCCCATTCAGCAGGAAGCAGTTTGGAGAGAAAAAAACTGTGCCCATGTTCCCAAATATTGTTTATAAATGTTCTTTTACATTTAAAGGGGGATATGATATAGGTATGAATAATTTGCATTGGTGTGGATTTTAAGGTCAATTTTGTTATACGTATATGTATTTCAGTATCTTGATTAAGGTATTGTGATTGTGTAGTTCATTTTTAAAATGTAATGTATAATTAGGAAATACAGGTTGTTGATGGATAATCATAAATATTAGTCAAGCTTGTAGTCATGTTAGTTAGATATTCAGGTTATATATAGAGATATATTTCAGTTAGATAGGTATTCTTTATATCTTTTAAAGACTGCAGAATAAGAATATGGCATTTAAATGTTTTAATCCCTTAGGGCTTTTCATGACAATGAGACACATCTGCTCCTGGCAGCATCAAGCTACTTCAAGAGGAAGATGGGCATCGAAGAGGCTCCTTATGGAGTTTGATAGCCATTTGGGCAAGAAACTGCTCTTGCCTGGACTGTTGCATAAACTGGACACAAAGAACCCGCAGAGAAAGGACAGCTGAACTTGCCTAAAGGCAAGATGTTCTTTCAGGGTTCCTGATTCATGAAAGAGTCTGCAAGACATTCTGCAGGACACAGCAGAAAGTGACTGAACTGTCTTTGAAATTTCCTGCTTCATGGAAATGTCTGCTGAACACTATGGGTCTGAAGGCCGAAGACGGATGCCCCAACGAAACAAAAGAACTTTGGGTGACTGTACAGGGAGCAAGATGTCTCTGTCATTTCTAGAGTTTTGGATTTCTTGTTTACTTAGGTAATATTATATCACTCTGGAGTCTTGATGGAGTTGAAGAATAAATAAATAGTTATAGTTTTCCTTAGTTATGATAAAAGATAAAATAGATATAAATATTGTAACTGTAATTCTTGCTTGATAACTGTTTTGCTATATGTAATTGTACTATGTTAAAGTTAAAGCCTTTCTTTTTTGTTTAAACAGAAAAAGGGGAAATGATGGAGGTGGGTCTTGTATCTTATCTGTTGCTTTCATTGGTTAATTAATAAAGAAACTGCCTAGGCCCATTTGATAGGCCAACCCTTAGGTGGGTGGAGTAAAGAAAACAGAATGCTGAGAGAAAGAAGCCGAGTCAGTGAGTCGCCATGATTCTCCCATCAGACACAAACACAGGTTAAGATCCTCCCTGGTAAGCCACCAGCCCAAGGTGCTACACAGAATATTAGAAATGGGTTAGATCAATATGTATGAGTTAGCAAATAAGAGGCTGGAACTAATGGGTCAGACAGTGTTTAAAAGAAAACAATTTCCGTGTAATTATTTCGGATAATGCTAGCCATGCGGGTGGCCGGGTGCCAGGAACGTAGCCCGCCACTCTTATTACAACATTTACAAACATTACTCCATTCATAATTTTACTATATTGTGAATCATTATACATTTGGTAAGTGAACTAAGACACCCAGAAGTATTTGCATAGACCTAGAACTCATGTTTGTTTGTTTGTTTTTGTTGTAATGTGAGTTTGTATTTATGTATTAACCATGATGATAGAAAATAAATTAACTTTGTATTTGTGGATCAAATTAAACATGTATACTCTACATAGGAACTACAGTTTATCTTCTTAATTGTTCTTAAGGAGAGGTATGCTAAATATTTCCATATTCCTATTCCATATTCCTATGCTCATACACTTGTGTCAAGAGTGACATATCATATATATATATGAAAAAATCATATATATATATATATATATGAAAAAAAGAATAGTGTATAAAAGATTTCCAAAATGAATCCACAAGGTTCAACTTTCAGAGACTTGAGGTATAGATATTAAGGTTTTTCCACATCACTGCCCCTTGACCCTTGACTAATCTGATTTCACTAAACTTAGCACAGTCACAAAAAGTATATGAGTGATACAAGGCTTACCATGGGCTATTGAATTAGTAGAAAGTTTTGCAGCTATACTCATCATCATTGAAATATGTATACATTTTCTGTCATGAATAGCAAGAAGCAAATGAAGCAGCAGTTCTACAACATAGCTCTCATGATGCTATGAATCAAATGGTGATATCTGTTTAGGCATTGCTACCTAGACTTTTTCTTAAATGAAGGCTTTGCAGATGCAATTCATATACAAGAAATTGAGGTATATGGATTTGTGAGAACTTAATAACCATCAATATATTTAAAGCTGTGCTTATTTACACTTTTGCTTTTGTTTTAAAGTTCCAGAACACATTACAAACTATTTAAGGGAAATTGTTATGAACTTGCCCAAGAAAATTACCTTGCATGTCTTCTAGAACATTTACAATGCTCTTTGGTGTTAAGGTCTTCCCAAAAGTATCCTAAAATACAGTACCAGAATAGAAGTTATATTATTTAAGAATGTGCAACAATTAGCTTATTATCTTAAGTGCACCTAAAAACTGTGACTGTGTTATTCACCCCATTATTCTTTCTCTAAAACAAATTACAGAACAAAATTATAAACCAAGGAAAAGTTGTCTCCATATTTTGAAACATGAAAGAAATTCATTTTCACCTATAGTAGTTAGGTTCCAGTAGGTCTCCAGCATCACATCTTTGTAGAGATTCTTCTGGGAAGGATTCAGTAAATCCCACTCTTCCTTAGTGAAGTTGATGTGCACATCATCATAGGTCACTTCCTTCAAAAATATACCATATATGAGTACAGTGTAAGTATGAGAGTGAAATGCATACTTCTTTGACAGTATAGTTTTACAATTCTGGTGTTCCCCATTCTTGTTCCATGACATAGACAGTCACTTTAGAAGGAAATTGAAAAGGAGAATCAATTCTGTTATTTCTGTGTCATTTGTATAGGATACCTCCTTATATGAGCAGTATCTATTCA